CGAGAGAAAGCCAGAGGCCAAGAAAATGCAGTTATGGAAGGCAGTTTGAATTTTATTCGAAGAGGGATGGGAAGCCTTTAAAGGGTTTGAGCATGGGAACGACGTTATCCGGTTTTACATTTTTAAAAGATCATTTTGGTTGTTATGTGGAGACTGGACTGGTAGAGAGGAGCTCGGAGGATCAGGACAAGAGAAGGGGCAGAATGATGAGATGAGAGACAGTGAAAACAGTTCAGAGAGATGACAGTTGCTTAGACAAAGAGGACAGCAATGAAGGTCATGTTGAATGGCAGGCTGAACAGAACTTGCTGATGGACTGGATATTTACAATGTATGTGCTCATGCTAAGTCGCTTCAGTAGTGTTTACTGCTTTGTGACCCCATGGACTGAAGCTCTCCAGGCGCCTCTGTCCATTCTCCAGGTAAGAATACTGAAGTGGGTTGCCATGCCCTCCTCCAGGGGATCTTTCTGACTCAAGAGATTGAACCCACATCTCTTCTGTCTCCAGCATTGGTAAGTAGGTTTGTTTTTTTTTTTTTTTTTTTTTACCACTAGAGCCACCTGGGAAGCCCTGGATATTTACAAAAAGAAAAAGCAAATGTGACTCGTGTGGTGCCAGTCACTAAATGAAGAACACTAGGGGCAAAGTAGGCTTAGCTTATAGAGTAAAATAAAGAGTTGTTTTGGATGCATTAAGGCTATGATGCCACATAGAGCATTCAAGTGAAGATGTCCAGTGCACTGTTAAAGCTTTGAGAGTAGCGATCAAGGGAGAAATATAAATCTGATAATCAGAACATTTGCAGATGGCATTTAAATTCAAAGGACTGAATGAGATCATGTAGGGAAAGTATAAATGCAGAAGACAAATGTGTCAAGACAAACCTCTGAGGCACTCCAGTGCTTATAGCTGAAAAGAAGAAGATCTAGCAGAACTGATGATGAAAAAAAGGGGAAAAAATGGGTGATATCCTAAAGTGAAGAAGGTCACTGAGTAATGAAGGAGTGGTCAAGTCCGTCAAGCTGCTGAGGTCAAGGTATTCACCATGTGACACTGTGGATACATGAAGGCACCTTTAATTCCCAAAAAGAAGTATATGCTATGTTAGCATAAGGGAAGCGAAAGTCGCTCAGTCCTGTCTGACTCTTTGCGACCCCATGGACTATACAGTCCATGGAATTCTCCAGGCCAGAATACTGGAGTGGGGAGCCTTTCCCTTCTCCAGGGGATCTTCCCAACCCAGGGATCAAACCCAGGTCTCCCGCATTGCAGGCAGATTCTCTACCAGCTGAGCCACAAGGGAAGCCCATACGAACATAAAGTTTTAGCTTAAAAACAACAGTCCACCCACCTCCATTTTAAGGGAAGTATGTGTTGAAGAAAGAACATCTATAAAAACACAGGAGAACATAAACAAGAAAAAAATCACCCGAAGAAATCTGTTATTAAGACTTTGAATACTTTCCCTTGAATCTCTCTTTTATATAGAGAAGTGTTGGGTTTTGCTTCTTAGACAGTCTAACTATATGGCACACGTAACTGTATATCCTGCTTCTTTCCCTCCCTCACGTTGCTGCCTGACTCTTTGGGTCCCCATGGACTGTGGCCTGCCAGGCTCCTCTGTCCATGGAATTCTCTAGGCAAGGATACTGAGTGTGTTGCCATTTCCTTCTCCAGGGGATCTTTCCAACCCAGGGACTGAACCCGAGTCTCCTGCATGACAAGCAGATTCTTTACCACCGAGCCATCTGGGAAGCCCATTTATTGTTGCTTGTAATGAGCCAGGCTCTGTATAAACATACTGCACTGAATCTTCATAACATACCATTAGGCAGTTACTGCTATATTCCAAATTCCTCAGTGAAAAGACTAAGTAATTAGTCCAAGGTAAGTCAAGACTTCATTTTCTGTGCTCGTATAGTGTACTGCCTAGATAACTTGATTTGCTTCATTTTCTGTTGTTAGAAGTTGTCTAATTTCTTAGAATTATAACTGTCACTGTGGTGAGCATCTTTGAACATAAAGCTTTTTATGAATTTTTAATTATTTCCTAAATATTGATTCTGGGAAAAAGAACTACTTGATCACAGAGTATTTTTTAAGACTTCGGATACATATTGCTTTCTAAAATATTTTTCTCAATATATTTTATCACAGAAGGGTCACTTTAAAAATCTAATTCAATCTAAAATATAAGGTGTAGGTGAGATGAGGGGCGTGGGGGAGTAAGGACTGTGAAAGCGCAGTAAGTGGCCAGCAGAGGGCAATCATGTGCACCGCCACACTGGGGGAAAGTCTCCAAAATTTGAGACAAAAGGAAAGACTGATTTTCTATTAAACTGGCAGTGTCATATGGAGTATCTATACTCTTTCATGTTAGATTCCACTTTTATTATACTTCCAAACAGAGAAATCATTTATTTCTTATTACTGGCCTTTAGAAATCATAACCATGAAAAGGATTTCTTTTGCCTTAAATTATCTCCTGAGCAAAACCAGGTTGGGATTTCTGTGACATTTAAGACAGCTACCTCACTGCCATGAGGAAAATCAGAAATGAGAACCAGCAGTGTAGACCGCTTCCTGGTACCACAAATGAACTAGGGAGCAATTTAAATCAACTCAACATGATGAGGCGCTTCTGTCATCCAGGACTGAAACTCATCTTTCCTCCATAAGTTTTCCCATTAATTTGTTCATTCATCCAACAAAAAGTTAGTAAATACTTACTACGGACTGATTTCCAAGCTAAATGTGTAAAATGGTGAACAAAACTGGTATGAAACTTACAGTGCAGTGAACAAACCATATACGATTCAGTCACAAATAAATACATTATCACAAACTGTGATATGTGCTGTGAAAAAACACAAATGTATATCAGAGTGCATATCTGGGAAAACTGTCACTAAGCGTGCGGCACAGACTGCTTTCTAGTGAAAGCAACATTTAACTGAAGGCCTGAAGGAAGGATACAGTTTAATAAGGCAAAGAGGCCAGCAGTGGGGGTACAGGTGTATTAGAGAGACCATTCCAGGCAGAGGAAAGATTATATGCGAGAACCTTGGGACAGGGGAGCATAACATATTTTAGAAATAGAAGCCAGTGGGACTGGATCACGAACAGGAAAGAAAAAGAACAGCACAAGTTAGAACTGGCAAGTAGGCAGGGACTAGGTCAAATAATTGAAAAAAATAACACAATTTCTTCTAAATCAATTTGTTTCTCCATAGACTAGAGGATTAGAATGAAGAATAAGATTTCAACACAGATTTTTTTCCCAGAGTACTTTCTGTTCAAATATTCTGCTACCTTAATTTCATAAAAACACTTGTTACTCGTCAGACTAGTATGTTCTGATTTTTGTTGTTGGGGGAAAAAAAGATTTCCAAAGAAGCATCTCTAATCCTTACGTTTAGGAAAACTGACGACCAGAGAAGTTAATTGTCTCTTGTTTTTAACAGCTTAACTAAGCTTGCCCAGACACGGTTTTCTTTGCTCCTATACTGCCTAGGGTTTGCTGAGTTGTTTGAATCTGTGAGTTGGTCTCTTTCATCAATTTGGAAAACTCCTGGCAATAATCTTTTCAGATATTCGCTCCTGCCCCAGTATCTCTCTGCTTTCCTTCTGAGCCTTCAAGTGCACTTATGTGAGACCTTCTGGCAGTCTCCCACGTGTCTTTTCTGCTCTGCTCTCTCCTTTGCATTTTTTCTCTCTATGCTGCGGTTTGGATATTTCAAACTGAACTGTATATGAATCCACTAACCTTGTCTTCACTGTACACAACAGTATATAACCTTGTCTTCACAGTACATACTGTAGACCGCTATTAGGTCCATGCAATGAGGTATTAATTTCAGATGTTGTACTTTTCTAGATTGTTCTTTTGATTATTTTTTTTACTCCAAATCTCTTGAAATTTTGTCTCTTTTCACCTATTTTGTCTGTTTTCTCCTCTATTTTCTTACAATATTAACTTTAGTTATTTTAAATTCATTTCAGGCTAACTCTAACACCTGGGTCATCTGTGGATCTGCCTCCATCACTTTTCTCTTTACTATTGGCCACAATCTCCTGCCTCAGAATTGTCCTGTTTCAGTTGCCAGACACAGTGTACAAAAGAACCACAGATGAGTCCTCTTTTCCTCTGTTAGGCAGATGTAATGAGAGGACCACCCTAATTCAATCAGGAATTGAGACAGGCTGAGGACGAACGGCAATTTTAGTATGAGTCCGTTCACCTGTGGCTCATCACTGCTTCTTGGTCACAGCCTTCTAAGGCTTTGGATTGAGAACCCAGCAGGTATGTGTCTCCTCAGCCCTGAAAGACTGCAATAGATCCAGAAAGTGAGTAATGGATGTGAACCTAAATTCCATGCAATCCACCTTTTGAATCTGGCAATGTCTTCAGAGAGATGGTCATATGTTGCAGCAGGCCCTTTCTTTCTAAAAAGATTTTGTCTCCTAAGCACCAGAAGATTGAGGAATTTCTTTCTACCTTTTGAGCCACCCTTCCATATCCTGCACAGTCATTTAATGTCCTGTGGGAAAACTGGCCTTGTATTTAGGGCTCCTCTAGTTTCTAATTCATAATGGAAGCCCCAAATGATGGCCAAAAGTTCTTCTTGTATCTTTCCTCAAGAAGAATCCTTTTACTTGGACCAAGCCCGCTCCTTAATCTGTGCCCAGAATCAGCAAATGTCCCTTGAAAGGAAAATGGCTGGTGAACATCAGCTTACTTAGGAAGAGTATTCTACCCTTTCTGGAATTTTAGTTCATATAGTTTTCATTGCATCCATGGATCACCAACCAATATGATTTTTGAAATTTATATATATATATAGTTGTTGTAGAAGGAGTTTGGCTTGCTATGACCTATTACATCCTACTTAGAAGAGAAAGATCCTTATAAACTCTTTGGGAAGAATTAACTCAGAGAAGGACTTCAAAATGAAAAGAACAATGGACTACGTACATAAAAAAGTAAGGAAAGTGTACCTGTGAGGGCATCACAAGTGGCAGACCGATTATTGCACTGGCAGGGCAAGCAGCCATTCTTATTAAAGTCGTAATATCCATCGTGGCATCTATCACATGAAGAACCGGTGACACCCACTTTGCACTGACATTTCCCAGAGCTGCAAATAAAAGCAAAGACAATGAACAAAATAAATCAGTTTGAAGGTTTTGTTGCCTAACATCTCATCATAGATGATCTTAATGCAGAAATAGTGTCAGCTGGATTCTAGTTACGATACATACTGAGTGACTTTTATTTTGAATTATAAGTTGGGCAGCTTCATGGCTATGTTAATTCACTTAGCATGGTAATAACACTCATCATTTCTGACACTGTCATCCCCTGCATTTGGGTGGCTTAGGATAAACGGTAAAGGAGCCATGGAGAGTCCCCGCGCCTGGCCCTTCAGCGCCTCTGGTTACTAGAGCACTGGGGCACAGGACTCACTCTGCTGCCGCATCTCATTCCCAAACCATCCACAGCGGCCCCAGCATCCAAACTGCCCGATCTGGAGAAGAAAAACCACCCAGGGCTCACTCAGCCTAGCTTTTGGTTGAAAAATATAAAAATAAGGACTTTAATGATTGTGCTAGAAACTCAATATGATTTTCTACTTTAGGCCAATGCTGTATTAACACAATTCTGGCAATTAACCGGAATTCACAACTAAGTGAATATGACTGTAATGAGGACCTCTATTCATTTCGGAATTAAACCCAAATAAACATGCTTGATTGTCAACTCCAAAAAAACGACTAAAAATCTAAAGTAAGAAAAATATTTTATTTAGTGTCCCATTTCTTCTTATTAACCTGTATTCTTTTCCTAGATGTCCATTACATCAGTGATATCATCTCTCTCCAATCAGTGAAACTTAAACCTTTGTTTTAATTTTCAACTCTTCTCTCTCAACTCCATGCTCTTCCAATCACTCATTCAAATTCAACATCCCACCAGTTTTGGTCAGATTTTCTTCCAATTATCTCTTGTTATTTATTGTACAGTCATCTCTCTTAGAATATGTTTCCTCTTCTTCAACTCTTAAAAGTTCTCCCACTTTCAGGTTCATCTTTTCCCGTGACTTTTCCCTGACTGGTCAACAGAGATCTTCTGGCCTCCTGACAGAACATTCTCTATACTGTACATTTTATTCCTAATTATGGATTTTTCTACATTCTTTCATATACGTAACTCTCGTTAGATTGTTAAAGGCCTAAAGCAAAGGCTGTATCATGCAGCTTTTTTTCAAGTTATCTTCAGGATGTCGAGTCGAACCCAACTGAGCAACTAACACTGTCAAGACAAGCTTGAGCAGAGGAATAGTGCACTATAGCTGTCTTCATTTCACACATCTTACTTGGTAAGTCTGCAATGTTCAGAGACCCAATCCTAGCGATCTTGCTATCTTCAGAGTCTAGTATAGTACCTTGCTTGTTGTAGACAATTAATATATGCTTGATAAATAAATGCTCAATACAAAAACTGAGTTTTAGAGTTAAGCACTGGAAGGGAAAAAGAAAGATGAAAGGCTGCACTGATTACTAGGATTCTCAAATCAGCTAAAGTAGTTTTCCCTTTTTTCCAACAGTGTGACTCTTCTTTACATGCTCATTCTGGACATCAAATTTTTAGAATTCATATCAGTAGAGTTCTGGCACCAGTCATATTGGATGGGAGTCAATATAATGTAGAACTGCATCTCAATATAATTATTTTAGAGACTCAGCTCCTAATAATGAGCCCCTATGGGGATGTTCATTCTACTTCAGGAGCCCAAGCTCAAATTGTTATTACTCACACAGCTCTTACACATGTCAGTTAAAGTAATCCCCTACTGCTTCCCATACTCCTATTTTTGTAATAAAAATAGAAGTCCTAAATTTGAACATTATTGGAACTTTGGGTCGAAATTTGCAGAATGGGACTAAACTTTCAGCTGTGTGGATTCTACTTGTAGTATACAAACCTGAGATTTTTTTTTTAATTGAGACATGCCTCTCTGTTTATCAGCATGCCCTGGGCTAAATAACGAGGCTTTTGCCTTCTGTCCTAAAAAAACTATTTTGAGCAGTTATAGGTGAAATTCACTTCTCTCTCCCACTTAACCCATGGTTCTTTGCAATATCCCAGGGTATGCCAAAAAGGAGTAGAAAAATAGTTCTACATGGTATATTTTTAGGGCTTTACTCAAAGCCAGTCAAGAAAGGAAAGAAAGCCATGCTTATGTAAATAATAAATACTTAACATATCTTAAAGCCTTATAACCTGAGAAGTTACCTATCAAACTCTGTATTTCTATCTTAAAGCTGCCTATATATTGGGTTATGCAATTTCTTGACTAACAATTTTACAGAAAATGTAAAATGGAAACATCTGAAAGAAGTGGTAATGATGATAAAAATAGTAAGTAATCATTTATTTAGGGCCTATGTCAATAAATACATATTCTTTCTAATCTTCAAAGTAACTCTACAAGGTAGTGGTCATAACTCTCATTTTACTACTGAGGGAATTCAAAGGGTTAAAGTTACTGTCCACACCTAATAAAGGCAGGTTTATTTATACAAACCCAGACTTTCCCACTATGCTACCTACCCTCTCCTCAGTTTAACTCTAAGTTTGTACAATAAATTTGCCTGCCAAATAATCTGATACCCACTTGGGTATCAAGCTTCATTCTGTAGATTCCAAGCATCACAATTCACCATTTATTTAGGTTCTGACCCCAGTGAGCTGTTTCTGCCTTGCCCAGAATAAACCCAGTCTTTCTTCTCATTGCCAGTAAGTTTCAGATCTCCCTTAACAAATCTGAGAGTTTTTTCTGCTTGAAGACACTGCAGCCTAGCAAAGTCCCAAGGTTCTCAGAGACACAGCCCAGATTTTGATGTAACTGTTGTTATTCAGTCGCTCAGTCGTATCCGACTCTTTGTGACCCCATGAACTATAGCACGTCATTCCCCATTCTTCACTATCTCCCGGAATTTGCTCAAACCCATGTCCATTGCGTCAGTGATACCATCAACCATCTCATTCCGTCACCCCCTTCTCCTCTTGCCCTCAATCTATCCCAGCATCAGGGTCTTTTCTAAGGAGTCATCTCTTTGCATCAGGTAGCCAAAGTATTGGAACTTCAGATTCACCATCAGTCCTTCCAATGAATATTCAGGGTTGGTTTCCTTTAGGATGGCCTGGTTGGATCTCCCTGCTGTCCAAGAGACTCTCAAGAGCCTACTCCAGCACCACAGTTCAAAAGCATCAATTCTTTGGTGCTCAGCTTTCTTTATGGTCCAACTCTGACATCCATACATGACTAACAGAAAAACCATGGTTTTGACTACACAGACCTTTGTCAGCAAAGTATGTCTCTGCTTTGCAACACACTATCTAGGTTTGTCATAGCTTTTCTTCCAAGGAGCAAGCATCTTTTAATTTCATGGCTGTAGCCAGCGTCCACAGTGATTTTAGTTAATCTTAATTAAAGTCTGTATCGATCATACTAGATAAGATGATTATTGTTTTTAAAACTGCCACAGAAATTTACATTTCCAAGACTGTCTCTCAAGTAACTCTGCAAAAAAGAAAACAACTGGGGAAAAAACCCTACCTACATACATATATACAGTCTTACACAAGAATACCCTGAGGTACTTAAAGATCTAGCAAAGTAAACCTGTATTCATCAAATACGAAGTTCAGGATTATCTTATGACTCAACAAGAAGGAACCAGTCAACTGCTAAGTCTCACTATACTGTCAGAAAATTATAAAGGATATAATGTACCTTTTGGAGACCGGCTAACAATACTTCATTAGCCAGTTTGCAAGCGTTTAAAAATGTTAATCAAAATATGTTTACTCCCCATTTCTCTATAGATATTAGATCATTTGGTAAAGAGAAGGATAAACAGCTACTTAATGAGTGTCTGCCCAATACACCGTCTCCAAGAAAAAGGTATTACTTTGGAATACCCAATCACCTAATAATATCTCATAAGCATAATATAGCCAATGCTCCCAAAGTAGTTGCTATTCCTATAAGTGAACTTTCCCTTCATAGTTCTGCTCCAGGCACTCAGAAGGCTGATTTAAGCAGGCATCTTTCTCCCTGGAGAATATGCTCCTCAGTTCTTGACCTTTTTTTTTAAAAAAAGTGACTTTATGAATCTTGGTAAGGCACTTGACTAGTCTAGATACCATGCCTCACTTTTCTTGGGTAGATTTTAAAACAAGAGAGGAGGTGCTTTTTTCTCTCTCTCTTAAAAAATGAAGTAGGGAAATTTGGTTGTAAGCCTGCAACTAGTAGCGCCTTTCCGTCAGGTCACTCATGGCCCATGGCCAACTTCTGCATGCATAAGAATTAAATCACTCGGCAAATATAAAGCTTTCCCTGTGTGACTTCTTTATAGAACAAAGCCTTTACAACACCCCCTTTCATGGTTTCCCTCTGTTAAAGACTGTTGAATGCTTTTTGAAGCAAAGGTCAATGATATAAATGCAATGAAATTTTGAAAAAAGAAAAAGCAAAAAAAAAAAAAAGCCTGTTAATAGATCATTTATGCTTATCCACAGATTTAAAATGAAGGAAGCAGACTCACATCTTCATATCTGGAGAATAAGGGCACAGAACTGGATTTTGAAAAGTTAGAAATCTACACTACTGACATCAACTAACCAAGAATTTAAGATGGAACTTCCTCATCTGGCATCACTTTTTATAGACATGAGTCACTTGCTAGTAAAGAACTAATTGGGGTTTCTCAAGTGGTGCTAGTGGCAAAGAACCCGCGGACCAAAGCAGGAGACATAAGAGACATGGGTTTGATCCCTGGCTCGGGAAGATCCCCTGGAGGAGGAAATGGCAACCCAATCCAGTCTTCTTGTCTGGAGAATTCCATGGACAGAGGCACCTGGCAGGCTACAGTCCACACGGATGCACAGAGCCAGACACGACTAAAGCAACTTAGCACCACAGCACAAAGAACTAATGACGAGTGGACAGCTGCATCAGAAAGGTGAACATGGACTCATTTATAAAGGAAGCAGAAACGCTGCCGAACTAAGTTATACTAAGTATTATTGAGTATATACTGTGCGTCCTTAAATTATCCCGGACAGGAT